GACCTGGCTCAACTGGGATAGGGTTTAGGATTTGGGGTCTAGGGATTAGCCACGTGCATGGCCAAAGCGGCGCAAGGCACAATCCGCGCGAGGTAACATATCACGTGGAGAGGATGTGGCTGTTAGGGTTTAGGGCTCACAGGGCTCACTCAAAACAATGGTTTTAAGGGTGATATAGAGGTGATATAAGGAGGATGGAAAGGAAAATGGAAACTACCGTACGTAATATAGGGTATGTATTGGGGTATATGTTGGAGTTATATAGGGAGAATGGAAAAGAAAATAGATACGACTATTTAGTGTTTAGGGTTTAGGGTATACACAAAAAATCCTAGGTTTCTGTAGGCAAGGATTTGTAGGATCCTACAGGCTACTCTGAAATGACTCCCTCAGCAGGAATGCCTCTTGTAAGGGTCCTGAAATTGAGGGATCCTCACATGCTGACCTAAACCCTAAACCCTAAACCCTAAACCAAACGGCTTATAAGATGGCGCATGGTTCTTTTCTGCTATATGGGTGCTTTCCCAAAATTAGGGGCACCTTGTTGGGGGTCCCCATAATTAGGTACCCCAATAATGGAGAATCAAATGGAAAAGAAAATGGAAAATGAAATGGAAGCTGGGATTATATAGGGTATTATAGGGATTAAAGAGTTTCCCAAAATTAGGGGTACCATTTTGGGGGTCCCTATAATTAGGATCATAGTATTTTGGGGGTCTATATTGGGGTCCCCTTGTTTTGGGAAACTACCATATATCCTGAACCAAACAAGATGTGGGAACCTGGGATTACATACATAGGAGGTTGGCCGCCAGAAGAGATCCTCACGTCTAAGCTCTAAAACATGCTATCACAATGCGACCCTTCTCAAACTTATGAATTCGGTCAATGCATGCACTCTGTCAATGCGCAGAACTCAATAGCTCAGATTACAACAACGAACCTCTATTTTTTGAAGCTACCAGCTCGGGCAAAGATGCAAAAAGGACCTTTTCTAAAGTATATGCGACCCCTCCAGAATTGGCGCACCCGAGCTTGTCGACAAGCCGACGCTCAAGTGCGGATAGCTGCCTGGCACCACACCCTTGAAAGGGCTTAGTTTTAAAGGGTTAGTCTGAGTCTAAGGGGACATAAAGGGATGTGTACTGATGCCTAAGTGCCCTCGCTTGACATAGGAATGTTTTGCATTTGTTTAGAGATATTCAATCTTACTGGGATTAGCTGAATATAGCTGTTATTCCCGGACCTTTGGAAAGGGACTCATCTGCAATACTGGGCTGTCAAAATCATGATCCCATTTTGGGGTCCTGTCGTAAAGATCCTACGATCTTGGAGACATACATGAAAAAGAAACCAAGGTTGCAGGAGCTTGAGACTATATAGTTCCCCTTAAGTACATAGAATATGGGGTATATGGGGATCTTATTATAGTATACAAAAAGCCATATTCTACCTACTTAAGGGGGCCTATGTTCCCCTAGTGTCCATTTCAGTTTCCATGTTCTTTTCCATTTGATTCTCCATTATAGGAGGATAATAGGGGATCATAATCAATAATATTCTATCTACTTAAGTTACTTAAGGATCTACTTAAGGGGGACTATACCCTAAACCCTCCATAAATCTTAAACCCTAAACGCTAAACTACTTAAGGGGGACTACATATTAGGTACTGCGCTACGAAAGCACGGAATGCACACAATCTGAGCTCCGGGCTGCATGAACGTAGTCTTCAAGTTCATGTCCGGCCTGCCATATCACCCCAAACCCTTTAAACCCCAAACCCCTAAACCCTAAAAACCCCAAGCCCTAAACCTCTAAGCCTAAACCCTGAACCCCTAAACGCTAAACCCTAAATCCCTAAGCCCTAAACCCTCAAACGGCACGCAGGTGTTTCTATAATAGGCTTCCTGGCTGCCACACGAACCCGAGATCCCCAGAGGAGCTCCGATGCTCCTCATCTGGGGGGTTTTCCCAAAACAGTTAGGGTCCCCCTTAAGTAGAAGGATTAGGGTTTAGTGTTTGGGGATTAGGGTTTAGGGTTTAGGGTTTAGGATTTAGGGGATAGAGTCCCCCTTGAGTAGATAGAATATGGGGGTTATACTGGGAGAATGGAAAAGAAAATGGAAACTACTATTTAGGGTTTAGGGTGTAGAGATACCTTTTTGGGGGTCCCCATAATATGGATCATTATATGTTCAGGGGGCCCAAAAGGTGGGATGAAGGTCAGTGGGTTAAAGGGTCCCTAGTATGTACTCTACTATAATGGGGCTATTCCCTATACCCCAGCTTCCTACCTTTTGAGCTCTCCGATATACTGGTGTCTATATTGGGATCCCCTTACTTTGGGAAACTACCACTTACCACGCATTGTGCCATGCATGGCGCAGCCTGCGGAAGCTGAGGAACTCCATGGTCTTGCGAAGGCCCCAATCTCAGCGCTGGTTTCTTTTGGGGGAAGGGTTAGTACGGAATGTGGGGAATGCCATCCCTGCACAATCTACAATCCCCATGTTCCCTTATTCCCTACTAATCCCCGGTATGTTTTTTCGGGGGGGAGGAGGATTACACCCTGTAGACGGGGTTCAAACCCTGCAAGGCTATGGATCCTCCTTGGTTTCAACCCCGAGTAAGCCGCCCCAGTAATAATAGTAGTACCAGTAACAATAGTAGTAATAGTAATACTAGTACTCACAACAACAGTAGAAATAAAAAAATAATTGAAAATCAAAACGTCAATTGTGCTTTTCTTACAGTAGCTGCTTCTGCTGGTGACTTGGATACCTTGCTGTTGCTCGCGCTGCGTCCGGCTTGAAGGTAGGAGACTGAAGCTCTAGGAGTCCCCGGCTGTATTTCCTCATCATGTAGGCCCCCAGAATGCAGCAGGATCGCGACTGCCCTCGCACGGAGTGGATGAGTACCTGGAATCACCATAAGCTGGACCATCTGCCACTCTTACTAAATATAACCCCAATATATACCCCATCATACTATACTAGCTTCCATTTTCTTTTCCATTGTCCCTATATAACCCCTATATTACCCCTATATATCCCTTTAAAGGGACCTAGGGTTTCCATTTTCTTTTCCATTATCCCTATATAACCCCCAATGCAGTCACCTGGCGGAGGAAGAAGGCAGGCGCACGCTCTCCGCTGCATTCAACGCCTCTTCAATGAAACGGAAGGACTCCGACCTTGTCCCAGGAAGCAGCAAGGCAAAAGAAAGCATAAATAAACCATATTCTCAGGGGGGGGTATATCGAGGTTATAACGGGGTTATATTGGCATAATGGGAGAGAAAACAGAAACTGCTGTTTAGGGGTTAGGGCTTAGTATTATCCAACTACACATCATCCATGTGCGCACAGCGCTTCGCATGAATTGAACGACGCCGTTTGTTTGCAGTGTGTTTGCCAAGCTCCCTAGGCGCATGGCGACACCACATCACGCGGATCCAGAACCACCTGAAAGCACAAATGCGCCAGTCACACTCAGGCGCAAGCCCTGCAGGTGGGAGTGTAATGTAGCTTTGGATTTATAAACGGGTTCATTTCTGGGGGGTTATGAATCAGAACCCGGCTGTAAGATTTGGATCACAGAGCTTACGACAACAAGCGCTGGCGCAGTCTCTGAGGGCTCGACCTGGCTCTCAGCATCCACCCAGTAATAAGTAAGATATACAACGCCGATGGACCTTTTGCGCAGGCCAGGTTTAATGTCTTTTCTTATCTTTTCTCCAGGGCCGGCAACCAGGTGTAGGGTTTGGGGTTTAGGGCTTCGTCCTTCTTTAAGTAAGATATACAACGCCCATGGACCTTTTCTTACCTTTGGCCTTGGAATGCAGGAATGAAAAAGAAAATGGAAACTACTATGTAGTATATTGGGGGGGTATATAAGGATAATGGAAAAGACAATGGAAACCAATATATAGTATATTGGGGTTGTATAGGGGTATATTCTAGGGACTACTATACGGATCCATTCCTTCATTCCTGGCTTACCAAAGGTAAGTTTTGCGCAGGCAAGACTTGAGTGACTTCCCAAAATTCCCGGTACCCTTTTGGGGCTCCCAATAAGAAGGATTACAGTATTTGGGCGTCTATATTGGGGTACCCCTGCAGTATTTGGGGAAACTACCACTTTGCAAGACCAGAGCATGCACAAAGCAAAGCCAAGCAATGTGCTCTCAAGTTTGTGCATAAGGACTGGAGCTGTTAAAGAAAGCAATGTATATCCTAAACCCTAAACCCCATTTTAGCAGTTTCCATTTTCTTTTCCATTATCCCTATATAGCCCCTATATAACCCTATATTAACCCCAGGCCCCAGGCTCCCAGTGATTTGGTACCTGTCTTCCAGCGCAGTTGATTACCCGCGTCACCTTGCAGAATGCAATCCCTTGCCTGGGATGCTATGTAACATGGACTCAATGCCGTGACCAGCTACAACACGCAGCAGCTCTGCATGCCTTGTTGGACACAACGAACTCAAGGTCCTGAATGCCAGAGCGCGCACACAAAGGCGAAACATCGATATTGCTCGTGGCAGAGACTTGCTCAAAAAAATGTCCATTCCGACAATGCTGAACTCTCTCTTTTTCTTTGGATGCAACGCGCATCTGGAGTTTATCGAAGCTGTGGTCCAAATGGGTGGCATTGCATTCACGGCCGCCCCGTGGCATTACTCAACGCCACTCCCCCAGATATAGCCACGGGGAGTGGGTTGGGACGACCTATCCCAGAGATATGAAGTCAATGTCACCCTTTTGAACAAGTGCTCCACGGTGAGATCTTTTTCGAGTTATGCTAGCTTAGAGAGTTCCAAGATCTAGGGCAAATCTGCCCTGAATTTCATCAAAATCTCCTGACAGAATTGAACCACGCATCAAAAAGGTCCATTTCGTTCAACACATAGAAATGCTGGAAGTCGTGTAGAACCTGCATATTCTCCTTTGGGGGAATTTTGGCTATGACAATGCGATATCTTGTAGCTTCTGACGTCACAACTGGCAACCTCCGCTGTCGCCAGGAGGGGGACTCCTTACAGAGAGCTTGCATGTCTCAACAGGGGTTGAGGGTTTAGGCTTTACGGTTTAAGGTCCCTTGTTGAGGTGCTTCCGGAGAAGACATGAACCCTCCTGGTAGGTTGCCAGCTCTTTAAACCCTGCGTCGTTTCCCAAGATCAGCCTGCTCGTCAACCTCAAGCACATGGAACCCAACGAATCCTAAACTCAAACAGAACAATGAGCTTTAGGAACTAGACCAAGGGTCAAAGTCCTAAAGGATTTCCATTGGTCAGCTTCTAGCAGCACCACCGCCATATCTGCCGCCGAGACACATCGGTGGTCTGAAAGCCTCAACAACAGCTGCAAGTGGAAATCTGATTCCAATCCAGACTTCCAGACAGCATGACCATTGGATCAGAAAGCTGCTTACTTTTTCTGTCTCGACTGCAGTTGGTGGGTGGAGCAGAGGCTTTGCAAGGTGTAGGCATTGTGGATCTCGGAGTGTCAAACATCCCTCAAACTGCGGAGAGATCACCTGGCGGCTCAGAGCTTACGCGGCAATATACTAGACCTTCATTCAGTACTCACATGGCCACCTGCTCACCTGGGGCACAGGCTTCGTAAACTCCAGCCCCAACTTTCTCAAGCTCTTCTCAAGTGTTGCATACACATCCCTAAACCCTAAACCTCTGTTCTGATCTGGATCAGAGCTGCTGGAACGCCCGCTGCGCTGCCAGGTGGTAATCTGGCGCCACCACCCAGCAGTGCCGAGAGGCCTGAGGCTTAATCCCCTCTCCCTAATATGAAACCCCCCCACCCCTAAGGTTAAGACACGCGCATCTTAGGGGTTAGGGTTTAGGGTTTAGGCCCTCCACACCCCTTACTAAATACTCCTGAACATGAATATGAATATATTGGGAGTATTTGATAGTACCTTCACCTTCCCAACATAGCCTTGGATTCCCGAAAAGATGCCCCTAATTTTGGGAAACCCTCAGATATACAGCTTCATTGCTTTTACCTTCACCAGTATGGGCTGTCCAGCTGGATATGCAAAAAGGCACTCATACCCAGAGCGCAGTACAATGATTTTACTGCATCTTGCTTGTCACCACTACCTCTACTACTACCACTTGTGCTGATGATTCTAGGGTTCCTGTTGACAAACCTAAACCCTACACCCTAAACCCCCACACCTCATCTTACTCCTACAATGATTTTCTCCAAAAGGCTACCACCTGGCGGTGGGCTTGGCTGCCCCAAGCCGGCACCATAAGCTGCCTGAAAACAGAACTAGGGTTTCGGGCTAAGGGTTTAGGGCTTAGGGAGATTCAGGGAAATTATGGCCCGACTATGCTTCTACTACTTCCAGTTAAGGATTGATGAGGGCACCGTTTCCTTTCTTTTGCAAAGGAAAGTAGGGATTGACTTTCCAGATTGGAGAATGACAACGGACGTTGTACGATACATGAATTAGATTCGCACTTGAACTTCAGCATGTCTGGTTGCAGATCTGATTCTGCCTTATCCCCTTGCAACATGAACATCTATATGGATTTTCATAACATTGGCATGCTTTACCACAGGTTCATTTATGCAAAAAACAGAGATTGAACTCAAGCTTTTTGAGACGTGGGAGTGCTTCAAGCTGCTGGTAGGTGGCTTCAAAGGTGCGCTTGATCTGGCATTTGAAGGGCATGTAGTCCACTGTTGACAGATTTAGCCTTCGACCCACATGCATTCATGTTACGGCAGCGCCAAGACAAAACAAACCTTTCAAATGCCAAAAGACAGAACCTAGAGTCGTTCTGGAATCTAGCTTTGCACAGCTTAGATGCAAAGTTGCTTGAACGGGAGCTCTCTACACCACTGAGGAGAATGAGAGAGCACCGTAAAAGACTTTTTCTCAGTAAAAACTTTGTTGACACCCATGTCAATGAGAACAAATTAAAATAATCATCATGAGGCTTTGTTCGGAACCGGTTCCAACAGTCTTTCAAAATTCGGACCAGCGGGAAGTGGGCAGCATGTCCAAGTGTGACCTGCTTCCGGACCGTCTTCTAGCCTTGATAACGAATATTTCTTAGGTGGACCCCCCCACCCAGCAATAGTCACTACAAGGGATAATAATATCTATATTAGGGTCCCCTTATATTCCTAATATACCACTATTGGGGTCCTCCTAAAGGATTTCTAATATTATCTGGGTCTTGGCACTTGGCACCTCTGCTCTGAAGATGGACTAGACTAGAAGTCTTGGCAACTGAGGTTTGGAGTGAATTGGGTCTGCAGAAGCTATACCAAACATGCAAGATTTCGAGAAGGATGCACAAGGGATGATTTTTGTGGCAAGTACCTTTTTCATTCATGGGTTGAATATGATTCCCGGGGTTGCAACAGGAGGCAGCTGCCAAAAAATGAAAAAGACCCGTCATGATTGTTCGAAACGAGGCCAAATCGTTGCCCAGGGGTTTTGATCTCCCGGAGGAAAGATTTAAAAAACTAAGCGGAAACAAGACTTCTTGCTTTGGGAAATCGGGTCTAAAAAGCAACACTGAAATTCATGGGTCGACTTTACCGGACGCATGCGGGAATGCATGTGTAGGTTCGAAATCAGAATCCCATCTGAAAGCCCTGAAATACCAGGTACCATGCTCGGATGAATACCGAAGAAGCATACATAATTCTGAGAGTTGGAAGATTGGATGAGGACGTGATTTTTTTTGTAGCGTGGGCCGGGCTAAACTTGGTTGGTCGTAATCACTCTCCCTAGCAATACCCCCCCCCCCATAATAACAGAACACCTTCCTTAATAGATAACGGTACCATAAGGGGGGGGTATTATATGGGTGGTGGAGTGGCTCATAGGGAGATGGGAAAATGATGTGTACGCCTGACAGGGGGCCCTGCTCGAACACGAGGACTATATAAGGTGGTTTCAAGGGTGACGCAAGTCAGTCAGTCAGTCAGTCAGTCAGTCAGTCAGTCAGTCAGTCAGTCAGTCAGTCAGTCAGTCAGTCAGTCAGTCAGTCAGTCAGTCAGTCAGTCAGTCATATGCCAGGCGGCGCGTGGCCAGAAAAGAAACGGCAAACCATGTCACGCCAAAGGGTGACGCAAGGGTACTTAATTATCCAGGTTTCGAGAAAGCAGGCTTCCCCACCACTAGGGGAGGTAAACATTTCACAACTGCGAAGACAAGAAAAAGCATGCCCCATTGAACCCTCTCATTGCGGGCCCAATCTTAACTTGTTCAACCCTGACTCCAGAATCCACCTTTAGCCCCCCTAAAGGGGTTTCCCAAAATTAGGCGTACCTTTTCTGGGTCCATATAATAAGGATCATCGTATTTGGGGTCTATACTAGGGTCCCCCTATTTAGAGAACCTCCCACCCTAAACCCTAAACCCAAACCCTAAGCCCTAAACCCAAACTCTCAGCCCTGAACTCAACAAAGCCCTTCAAAGTGGTACCTGGCCCTGGTCCATGCCATCTGCGCCAGTGAAGCTTCTCACTGGCCGCTGAGCCATCGGGAGGGCATCCTGTGCACAGGCATCATGGGGTTAAGGCTTACAATGATATTATATAGGTATATATAGGTTAATATCGAGTGTATAGGTACATGTAGGTATACATAGGTCTACATATAGGTATATACAGGTGAAAATGGGTGTGTGTGTGTGTATGTATATATATATATGTATAAATCGGCATATATTATAGGGAGATACAGGGGATAGGGGTGTACAAGGAAATATAGTCATATGTAGTTTAGGTTAGAGGCCTTTCCAGAGGCTGGAGTGGCCGATAGCAACATTGGAGCTTCTCCTTTTCATTACCTTAGAGACCGGTTTGGGGGCCTTTCCTCTGGTCCTCCCTGTCCAGGCAAAATCTGCCGGGGATCTTGCCTGGACACCTGTGTACATACAAAGTGCTTCGGGTATTTGGAGATCCGCTACCAAGTTGAGGTGCAACCGGCGCTGTAGCCCACACGCGGGACAGACTGCAGGGTGGTCCAGGCCCAAGTTACTGGGCATGCGTCTCACTGCCTCAATGTGGAAAAGGTGAGCCTACTGCATCTTCTAGAGGAGCTTCTCTTTCTGTTGTCTGCAGCCCAACAGCAGATGCGGGGCGCTCGCCGGCGTTTACAATTATAAGCATCTATAGGACGTAAGGTTCCCACAAAACAAGTACCCGTTACCCCAATAATGGAAATCCATGGAAAATAAAATTGGAAATGATGTGGAAGGTAGGATTATGAAGTGGTTTAGAGAGCAGGGGTTCCAGTGGTCCCTGTCTGGGCATTCAGAATAAGGATTATGATGTCTGGAGTTTTGTATAGGGCCCCACATTCATGGAACCGCCGAGAGTAATATCTCAGGTCGCTGACAGTAGTCATGAGGAATTCAGGTGAGCGTCGTTGGGGGACGTCCTGATCAATATTCCATTGGATGGGGGGTGTGAAGTTTGAAGGATGACGATGACGATGATGATGGTGGTGGTGGTGGTGGTGGCGGCGGCGGCGGCAGTGGTGGTGGTGGCGGCGGCCGGGGGTGGTGGTGGCGGCGGCGGCGGCGGCGGCGGCGGCGGCGGTGGTGGTGGCGGCGGCGGTGGTGGTGGTGATGGTGATGCAACCTTGGCAGTTGATAGTAATACTTTTTAAGGCTGGTGGCTATTACCTTCATCATAGCAGCAATTGCATGCTTTTAAGTCACCTCAAGCACTCCCAGGTGGGAATTAACATTTTCAAGCCCAGACTTGAGCTGCATGCTGGCAAGTCCATCTGAGCCATCCTCTACACCCTCAACTCTAAACTCTCAAAACCCTCCAAAGCAAAACACCTTGAATCCTTTTGCCAGCTTCCGCAGCCTAAACCCCTGAACCCTCAGCCCAAGACTGGGTTGCTGTTACGGAACTTAAATTAAGTTACTATATTGGGGAAACCCCATTATTTACTATATATACCCATTATGGCAACTTAATTTAAGTTCCGTAAAAAAACCTAGAAGAAGGCGTCTCAAAGTGCATGGCGGTGCCTTGACTTCACCGTACGGCGAATCGCTGAAGCCACGTCGAAAGCCCGGTTGCAGAGCCTGACCAGGTTAGGGTCTTAAGGGTTCAGAGGGTAATAAGAAAAAGTAATAGTTTTACCTATAGAGATAATAATACAAATAGTTGTAATAAAGATGAAAATAATAAGAAGAAGAATAATAGCAATAAAAAAATACAAATAATACACGCCTTTGCAAATTCAAATTTGAGAGGATTGGAGCCCGTGCGCGATGAGCTGGATCCAAGCCGGAGCGGTTTTGGGGGCCAGGGGCTTATGCTTGCATTCTTGAACACACTGGGGGCGATTGCTCGAGCAATGTAATTACGAATTTCCTGCTGCAGAGCAGACTTGTAGTGCTTGCGACTGCACCGACACTGAAAGATCGGCTTCTAATGACCAGCAACCTAGCATGGACGGGGGGGTGTAGGAGTTGTCAAGGGCTGCGTTGCGCGCTCCAGGCAAATGCCCACACACGAAGGGAGTCAAAGGCAACCTAAAACGGATGTCCAAACGTCCAACACACACACCGCGCCCACAAAGAGTAAATCGACATGCTCTTCCTGAAGAACTAAGGCCACCTACTGTCAAAATTTCCACCGACACATTACTGTTCTGACGCCTTCGAACAAAATAAACAGAGTTCCATCCAGCAAAAATTTGGGGTGATATGGGAATTGCTCAAATGCTGGGGGTAACTGTGCTCACATCTGGCAACGCCTTCAGGGGCAATGCAATAAAGCTCACCCTGACGTGCATGACGCACCTGCGCTTGCATCTCATCCATCCCCTTGGCGATACCCTTGCCTTTCGGCGGATCCTTGCAGCAAGCAAAAAAAATGAACGCTTCAAAACGTCGGGTGCAGTGGGTGCTGCGTTGTGCTTCGCTTTGCTCAGGGCGTCCGCAGAGCCCATTGGGGCACAAGGGCACTTGCATGCCTCTGACTTTGCTGCTGAGCTGCAGAGTAGCGGATGATGAGCCTGGGCTTGAAACGGGTCACTGTTGAAGCCAGTAGGGCATTATCATGGGACCCAAAATCAAGCAATGTGAAGACGCATGCAACCGCAATCCAAGCTGCTGTAGGTTGGGGGCCGTTTCTTGGCCATTCAACCTGTCAACGCCTCAGAACAATGACTTTGAATACCCAGCCTAACCCCTATAGAACCCCTTAAAACCCTAAACCCTAATCCCTAAACCCTATATAACCCCTATAGAACCCCTTAAAACCCTAAACCCTAGACCCTAAATACCCAGCCTGATCAGACAGCACAGCCCTTCTCTGAGCTCAAAACACCAAATCGCCTCCTCCAGGCTGTTCATGCGGACCAATGCAACGGTGTCGCCTGACTTATTACAGAGATGTAGGGTATGGGGTACCAATGATGTTGGATCAATCTGGGGTTTAGGGGTTATAAAGGTCCAAGGAAGAAGAAAATGCAAATGAAATGGCGATTGGGATATGAAGCCTATGGTGTTGTGGCTCTTATGGGGGGTTGAGATTGTTTTGGCTTCCCCTCTCGGAGCGTGCCTTTCTTGCCGTTGGTGTCCAGCACTTTGACCTGAATGTTTCTGGAGGCTGGAGGTAGCTTAGGGAAGTTCATTTAAGTTAGTACATTGGGCAAGCCATATTCATTACTATATATATATACCCATTATATTTAAGTTCCAAGGAGCAAAGGCCACGCCGGCAAACTGTCCGAAGAAAGCTGTTATGGTGTCCTTACTTGGCAAAAGGCAGCTGCCTTTCTGCAAGAGCACATCAGGTGGGTAATCGAAAACATTTGGATCCCCATAGTTTGTCCTGAAAAACTCTACCTAAATCCTATAAGCCCCTTAACTCTAAATAGTAGTTTTCATGTTCTTGTCCATTTTCCCTATATAGCCCCGACAATCCTTACAGCTCAGAAAAAGGAACTCCTCAGTCTTGGAAACCATATGCTATTACTGCTAGTACTATTACTGTTATTAGTACTGCTACTATCACATGTCTGAAACTTCTGAAGGCCAGGGCGCTGTTGTGCTGCCTGGGGGCAGGCCCATGACAAACAAGCTTTCTGTTGGGACATTCCTCAGATGGCTGGAATTCGCATACCTTGATGAAAATAAAGCACACTTTCAACATTAAAGCAGTGCACATGTTGAATAACCAAATTGGTTATAAGAATAATGTTGAAACAGCACTGCTTGCGCTTCCGCTGCTGTCTGGCGACTGCCTCTCCAGCATGTTTTTCACCTCGCCCTGGCACACTGACATTGCAAGTGAAGGTTCTCCCACAATCACCCCCTATACGTCCTCTGGACAAGATACTCCCCAATACATGGCCCCAAAACACACCCTCAACTGTGGAAAAACAGCAACAACTAATCACATGCGGTCAGAATGGTATTTCAGCCTCGCCTTTGCAGCAGTACTTGACGACAGGAGGGTCCGGATTTGCACTCCCCTGTGTATGCTACCGTCCGTCATTCGGATTGCCTGGGCCACTCAAGACAGGCTGGAATACTGCATCTTGGGAGCATGTGGGAAACCGTTATAACGAGGCCAAGCCAAACCAAACTTTGCTCAGAACTGCAAGCTAGCTGCATGCTGTGCTTCTTCCGGGTATCTGAATCTTGCCAAAGCATAGCCTGGTGGCAGTGCATGATCACCATGCTGGGAGGCTCACGTGCTTTCTGTACAGCCCAACAATGAACCCAACGGCCTTGACCATCCAGTTTTCCTTCACAACACACCTGCACAACAAAAGGCACCAGCGCTGCTCCGGTTCGTGCGTATGCCTCATTACTGCGGGCCATACTACATATTACATGGCAAAAGCATACAAGTCAAGGCACGTTTACTAGAATGCATGGACATTTCCAGCATGTTTTTGGTGCACCTTGATCATGGTGATCCTCCCCATTTCTTTGAAGATCTCTCGAATCGAGTCCTGCAATCACATTGCAAGAATGCACTGGGCAACCACAAGTAAATACAATAATCTTAAGAAGCAAGTGAAGGATGATGACGACTGCGGCAACGATAAGCCTTGCTCCTTCCAGCACCAGCACCATTGTCGCATTTAGACACTTGCGCGAATCCATCGTGCTTTGGCGGGCAAGAGAGCAGCAGCAGCACCACCACCACCACTACCGCCGCCACTACCACCACCACCACCACCACCACCACCACCACCACCACCACCACCACCACCACCACCACGGCCACAACTACTACGACGACAACAGTACACAACTGGAGATGATCCCTCAAGCTACCGTCCACAACAAGACTTCATCATAGCCCCAGTAGAGAAACAGCAGCACGAACATCAGAAAAACCATCGAAATCAGCATCATCATCATCGTGCAGCTACAACTGAGTACTACTACCAACGATAAAAATGAATCTCTTAACTACAGTAGTAGCAATAACAACAATAGTACTAGCAATAGTAAACGCAATCGTAATAGTAATAGCACTAACACTCATGATTCACAACAACTTGCCAACCTGTGGCTAGTGAAAGTACTGCAAAGAACCAACACCCCTGCGGTGTCCTCGTCCGTGTCGCCACGCAGGCCGGTTATCAAGACCTCACCTGAGCCAAGTTGGAAGATGCTTTGGAACCATTGGGCTATATTGGGGTTATATAGGGTTTAATAGGGGTTACGTAGGGATAATGGAAATAAAATGAAAACTACTATAAGATATACAATTAAGTCTTCAGACACCCTAGTGAGAAGCCCTGCAGAAAATAGAAAGAGCTGGATCATTCTTGGGATGGAACAGTCAGGGGATTCATTCTGACAGGGGTCCTTCTGGATAATTGAGTAGTGTTGTTTTTGGTGGTTGAACCCAGTAAGATTATATTCCTTATATAAAATACTATACCCCAAAAGGAGGATGGAATCTTACTCTATAATGGGTACCATAGCATCCCCAGATAAAATACTACTCAATTGAGAATAGGTCGGGCCGCTTTTGTTGACAACTTTTTTGGAAACAAAGTTCAGCAGGGAAGCCTTTTTGGGATCAGCTACTTTGATCACGCACCATGCTCTAAAACCTAAACCCTAAATAGTAGATTCCATTTTATTTTCCATTCTCCTTTTATAACCCCAATAGTAACCCTATTATACTGTAGTAGTTTCCATGTCATTTTCCATTATCCCCATATAACCCATATCCCTTTATTCACCAATATAAGCCAAGCAGCTCATATCCGCAGGGATATTCCAAGGATCCAGCTTGCCCTTCCCCTGCATCAGGTAGGCTGGGTTTAGGGTTTAGGGTTTCAGTCACGAAATGTCAGTTCCATAAAAAGAGCTGGCGTCTAAACTCCTTTTTAGGGGATTATATGGGGGAGTATTCCAGGGCTTATTAAGGGGCATACTGGGAATTCTGACTATAGCTCCAATGAGGAGCCCAATGTTACTGTCAAAACATTAGGCTCTTCCCAACTGAGTACTTGCAAGACTTGCCGTTGATGTTTGCCAAAGCCATGTAGACTCGGGTGCTCAGAACCTCTCGAGCAACAGCACAAGCCCCAAGAATCCAGTAGGAATGTAGTAGGAATACATTGACCCTGGCAAGGATACTCCCATTTAATTCCTGCTAGAGACTGTACTTGCAGTACAAGAACAGGTGCCGTTCCAGGAAGCACAGCCTTGCCACCATCACTTGGTTGCGGTCCCCGATCGTTGTCCGCAAGCTTAACCTGTGTTGCTGGGAGGGGACATAAATCAAGTTACCATAATGGGTCTACATAGTAAATAATAGGACTTCCCCAATGTAGCGGCTTAACTTAAATTCCTTCACAGCAACCCCGTAACCTGTATATAAGCTTTCTCGGCATCTACGAGCGCGACATGGTGACGTGACATACATGATGTGTACTGGACAAGATTGAGGTCCCTGTGCTTGCAGAGAGTCCAGCTATTTGCCACAAAAAGGCACCAGGTACAGCAGTACACCTACCCCTCCAACATTGGGAGCCTTGTTCTGAGGACTCCCCCGCAAAGACCTCCCTACAAGTGCGGTAATGACCTCGCGGACTGGGGTTATGTAGTTATAGGGATTATAGGGACTTATATAGGAATAATGGAAAAGAAAAAAGGAACTACTATAACCACAGCTACTCAGGCTGCCACAGATATCACAGCTCCACCAACATCGTACCTTGCGAGGCTGCCAACTCACTGGTTCTTAGTAGGGTTGAGGGTCTAGGGTTTAGGGTTTAGGAATCAGGGAATATAATCATCCCCATATAATCCCTAGGCGATATGTTCCCATATTCTATAACTCCCACATCTACCCCATTCTAACGTTGTAGTTTCCATCTTCTGTTCCGCTATCCTTTCAGAAACCCAAGTATATTCCCTTATTTTCTAGAGTTGTGTCCTACAAGTAGCAACCCATGGCTTTGCTATGCAGGCCGTATCTGAGTAACTGAGGCCCGGTCTCATTCAGCGCTTTTATCGCTGCAGCAGCATGGGATGCCTCGCCATACCTCTTCACTGGCTGGTTCTTAGAAGGGAACGAAGGAATATAATCCCTATATTTCCTTATATATCCCTATACGACCTCTGTATAATATTCCCTTATTCCTTACCAGGAACCAGTAAGTTCAGGAGCCGGTGGGCTCCACAGCCACGACCCGGATCACGTGAAGTTGCAGGATGCTAGGAACATGGATGGCTTTGTGGACACCCTGTCTTGGCAATGTAGTAATTTCCATGTTCTTTTCCCTTATCGACATATAACCCCCATGTATTCACTTATTCTCTGGAAGACATACCTTATTATCAAGGAGTAGTTTCCAGAGTCTTTTCCAAATCTCCCTATAGAACCCTAATATACACCCTACGATTATCTACCCATTTATAAAGTGCTACCAACCAGTAAGTCTTTCAGCCAGGTTGCTTGACGAATGCATACCCAAAACCACCCGTTCGGCGTGACGGGCACACCTTGCTATTTGCAGCAGGATGGGTTTTAGGTTTTTGAAGGTTTTTGTAGCAACCACGTTCACTTGCAAAGCTTACTGGTAGTACTTACTAATAGGGTATATAACACTAGGATATATATTGGGATTGTATAGGTATATGTGGGAATGATGAAGGAAACTACTGCTTGATAACAAGATTCCCCTTTTCCCCTACTATAACCCCAATGATATTGGGGTTATAATAGGGAAAAGGGGGAATATGTTATATAGGGATTATATAGGAATTGCATTCCCATATTCCTTACTAGCAACCAGAAAGAACACTGGCATGATGAAAAGAGCCACAGCAAATCTTACTTATATTAAGTCACCACTACCATCTCTAATCACCCTAAACCCTACACCTGAAACCCTAAATCCTAAACCTAAAACCCTAAACCCAATTGCTTGGTTACCAGGCTCTGGAGGACCAGATTCTCCCGAAGCGCTCGAACAGTTGGAAGAGGTGGGCGTCATTAAAGCCTCCAACAGCCAAACGAACTGCCAAGGGCCCCAACACGAAGCAATCTACCGGCAGTTTCCCAAAATAAGTGGACCCCAATATAGACCCCAACTACTGTAATCCTCTTTATTGGGACCCCAAAAATTGTACCGCTAATTTCGGGAAACCCCCACCCAGGAAACATGGCAGGCGCTTGATTCATGCACTTACCCCGTACACGAGCATGATGCAACAGAACGGGAGTGGGTGCTTCACACGAGCGGCCAAAAAAAATGTCAAATGCAGCAATGATTCAGGCCTGGCGGGAGGCCAGAAACATAAAGATTCCTTGGCCAATACGAGGAGGATTTTGGTAGCCCCAAGCCCTTGTGATAGACACCATATAAAAAATATCAAAGTCAAAGGATGGTCATAGGCTCCATGTTTGGGGGTTGGGGCTACCAAATCCTCCTTTGCAAGCGGAGGGTCTACCCTTTTCTGCATCTGGGTTCCGCGCAAGGTATGCATGTTATGCCAAAATGCCTTCCTTGCCTCCACAAATGAAATCCCCATGAAAATCCCTAACCCATAGTCTGTTCTATGATAGTAATTCTGGCTATTGAGTTTGTTGGATCCAATCTTAAAATTCTTTTCGTGGGTCTGGCGTCTGCTGCTGTTTCTCCTGCAGTCATTGCCATGTGTGTGATGAAAATGATGACGTCTGATACTCTGCTCTTGGTCACCACGCAGAAACAATTGCAGTACTTTGCTAGCACCGCCCCACAGCCACTATATGGTAGTTTCCCAAAAAAAGGGGGACCCCAATATGGACCCCAAAATGCTATGACCCTTATTATGGGGACCCCCAAAAAGGTAGCCCTAATTTTGGGAAACCCCCAAACCCCCAAACCCAAAAACCCTAAATAGTGGTTTCCATCTTCTTTTCCATTCTCCATATATAACCCTACTATCACCACCCCCACCGGCGCGCCGCCACCATGTAGGACTTTCTCACTGCGGTCGCGGCACGTCCCTGCCATGGACATCCCTTCAAGGGAGCTGCGCGCCTGCGCATCGAGCACAAGTGGGGGTTTCCCAAATTAGGGGTACCTTATCCGAGGACAATCGAGAAACCCTTGCGACTGATATGTGGTCTGCGCATATGAGCCATAATCTAAACTCCTTGTATCCCCCTTAATAAGCCCTATAATACTCCCCTACAAAATCCCCTAAAACAAGCCTAAGATGACCCCTTATTAAGCCCTTATTAACCCCTATAGAACCCCTTACTGACCTCGTATAAGCCCCTATAAACACCCCCCAACCTCGCAAGCGCTTGCCACGCCGAGTCATGGCGGACATCGCAGCGGTACGGCTTCAGCTCAAACGCTGCGTCAGGTAAAGCTCAAATGGGTCGCAGGACACCGTTTAGGTTTAGGGTTAACAGGTGGGGAAATGAGGGGGGGAGTATGGCTCTGTGGGTTATGGAAATTGGGTTCAAGGTTCAGGGTTGAGGGTTTCAGTTTTTTCTGGGAGAACAGGGCTAGCGAATTGGGAGGATGCAGGGCTTGAGAGTGATTATCTTGCGGTGCTGGTCACAGGAAGATGGCCAAAAGTTGGTTACACTTACAGATCTGAGCTTTCTGCATGGCCTAGATAAAAACCTATTTCCAGGCTTCCCTCCCGTGGATTGTTTAGCGTGCGTGCTGAAGAAGTCTCATACAGAAAACCAGGTTTAGTGACGTGTCATGCCACACTGCATTTCCAAAAAGGCTACAAAAGGCGGATTAGGAATGCATTTAGAGGGGGCCATCATCTTCATGATAAACTGCACCCTTAGCTGTACAAACTCAGATTGCCGCAAAGAGTAGGGTTGATGGACAGGGCCCTCGAAGGATCAGGCTTTCCAGTAGTCCTAAGGTCCTAAGATAGGCTAGATTCAGCATGAATCTCGGAAACAGGTCACGGGCCAGCACCCAACCAGCAAAGCTGCACGGCTGCATTTTCTATGCATCAGTTGAGTTGCATGTTGAACCCAGCAAGATCCCCAAATAGAATACTACTCACTTGGGGGTTCAACCCAGCAATACCTGGCAATGTCCTGGGCTGCCAGGGCATCACCAATGAAGAGTCCGTCCTGGCCGCGAGCAAGTCAGAAGCGTAGTTGCCAGAGCATGTTCTCGACGGTGTGCCTTCACCTTCACTGCTCCAAGAATCTCGTAGCCTTAAAGCACGAGAGACATCAAATGAGAGAACTAACGAGCTAGCCTGAAGGCCACTCACTGAAGATCACTGAAGTAGATTGCGCAGTGCAAGTCTCTTGGCGCATGAGACAGACTGCATCAGCGCATATCAGCGCGTTCCGGCAGTTTTCACTGAAAACTCTGCTTAAGGCCGTGGCCAAGACCAACACCAGACATTTGCGGGCATCTGGGCCTTCGGGAGCTGGGCCCTGAGACAACGTCGTCAACATGAAGGCCACGCATCTCTTCATGTGGACTCGCACAGGCATCTACACTGAGGTCTACGCACTCGCGTCACTGCTGCGGAGTCGTTCAACTTGCGATTCAGGTCTACGGCTCTGGCTGCAGAACAGAAGCGCAGGTGAAGCTTTGGGTGATCCCTGAAGATCTAAAGTTGGCTGAGGTTGCAAGTCGTAGTGTGCAAATGGACAGCCTTAGCCTTGTGGAGGCTTCGTAAAAGTCAGCATTTGCGTAGAAAGACGTGGCAAAATACATTCGAACCACGTTTTGGTGGCTAGACTGACATCAGTGGCTGCGTGGCAAACATCTCCGGTTTGCCTGGAAGGCCCTACCTACGGTACAGGTAAGGTTGTTCTCACCTGTGTGACTTGGAGCCGGCGCGGAGCACAATAGGCGTGAATCATTTGCAAAAGCACGTGCATTCTTCTCAAAAGGACCGGGTCCAGGAAATGCTTAGAGGACCCTATGTGCCAGAGATTCTTACATATTCCTGAGGAACACTCGATCCAGTGCGGGCACATTTTTTCAGCGCGGAGCGAATCCATACCTCAAAACGATCTACGGGCAAAGATTGGACCTTGTCCGGGTCTTATGGTTGCAGCCCGGCTTGCCTGAGACTTCAGCTACATGCTGTGAGGGCCTGAACAATTTGATTTCCCCTGGCATCGATACCATAGAGCAAGAGGAAGCATTAAGGCATTAACACATATAGGGGAGAAAAAATGTTCTTGTTGACTCAAGCTTCTAGATTGCTCAGTGCATGGTCCCTGGCTCTTACTGTCGGCCCAGGGGAGGCCACGCCAGACCTTTCAGAAAGCAACGGCTGACCAGGCGACCAGCTGTCAAGCATCCGGGGCACAATGGGCATCGTGGACAGACACAGTCAGAGAGACAGAGAGACAGGGAGACAGAGAGAGAGAGAGAGAGAGACAGAGAAAGAGAGAGAGAGAGAGAGAGAGAGAGAGAAAGACAGAGAGAGAGAGAGAAAGAGAGAGAGAGGGAGAAAGAGAGAGAGAGAGAGATTGGGGGGGGGGTGCGCGAGTGCAGCAAGATGCAAATTCTGTGGGCTACTTGCGGCCAGATTGAAAAGCATTTGCTTCGCATTTTTGTCTTCCAGAACTATCCTGCAGGATGCAAAGCTATTCGTGCTCATGAGCGGACTTGCCGGCGCGAACGGCTGCACCCACTTTGCTCTCCGCGGTTCCATCTGCGTACCGCTTGTATGTGTCCTGGAGGTCGAGGGCTTGGTAGTTTTGCGATTTCGGGGGAGGAGGAGTAGGGCCCGCTTCATAGATTCTTCGAATCTAGCCTGGGAGCATGTACTTACAACTGCGTCCGGTCAAATTCACCCTAATCGACTCGTACCAGCTCCCCGGAGGGTGGGGGGGGGGGGAAGCAAAACAATCAAACGCAAACTGGTCCAAGACTCAATGAGCCTCTCCGGGTCCGGCAGCGTCTGTTTCACTGCGGGCAGCTCGAGGCACCTTTCCAACCAGGCTCGAAGTGGAGCGAAGGTCGCAGGGTCCAAGGCAAAGCTTGCGTCTCGGTAGCGGTCAATGATGCCGCAGGTGAAGATACCTTGGAATCACAACAAACATTTGCATAGATACTTGCTGCGCGTGTGCTGCATGCGCCAAGTTGGTGAGCTGATCAGGACGATGTTTTGAAGCGCAGGCTATGCCTCCAGTTTTTGCTCATGAAGCTTCTCCGACCCTGCAATCCCTTCATAGTTCTAACTCATGACTGGAAAGATTCCACAGGACCCTGACGTGCATGAGAGTCCTAGCTTTGGAGCAAAGCACAGGCAAACCTCAACCTGAGAGCGAGGCGGTAGCACCATGGTAGAACGGCGATGTCAACGATAGAGAGATGTTCACCTCTTTCTTGCTATTTGACAAGTAGGAATATAATGATCATTGTCGTTTCTGATGCCATTGCAGAAGCAGCAGCAGTGGCTGTGACTGGCACTTGTAGGGCCAGAGCTCAGTGAGGTAGGGAGGAGCAGAAGCAGTAGAACCAGCTGCAGTGGCAGCATCAGCATCAGCAGCATTAGCAGCCGCAGACGTCGCAGTAGCAGCAGCAGTGGCAGCAGCAGCAGCAGCAGCAGCAGCAGCCGCAGCCGCAGCCGCCGGTCAACGAGAACTACTAGCAGCGTAGAAGTCTTGGAAGTCGAGGAATTGGTAACGTAGCAGCAGCAGGTGAAGTAGTGGCGGCAAAGACAAAAGCAGGACAAGCATCAGCAGTTGCAGCAGCAGTAGCAGCAGCAGCAGCCACAGCAGTAGGGTTCTCGTCTTGCCACCACAGCATGGTTTGACAGAACATGGCTGCGCATTGATCGCGATCAAGAGCTTTTGGCAACAGCCCCACCGAAGAAGAAGGGCCCTTTGATGTTCTCCTGACGTGTGGCCAAGAAATTCGAGAGCATGCAAAGTTTCTCAACGTTTGGCCACATGAGGCACTCACGCGATACCGAAGATTCTGGAACTATGTATCTCCTGTTGGGCATAAGTTACCAACGAGGGCTGCACCGATATTTCTGGGGTCGACAGGAAAACAGTACATGCTTCAGGGTAATTTAGAATAAGTTCCATTTTCAATTTCAAGCTATTTTGGTACTATTCCCTATACAAACCAGAGTTTAGGGTGAGGTCGGGTGAGGTCGGGTGAGGTCGCTTTAGATTGCCCAGGCAATGCTTTTCTCACGGATACGGTATGGACCAAATTTAAGGTCGAAACTCCGGGAGCCTATCTGGCTCTCAAAAACGACATTCAAAATCTGCGAGTAAGGTGGTAAGTTCAACTGACGCAGGGAGAACTTGAGGGGACCTTCATTTGGCACACGCCTGTCTGGCCTCCATTGGCCTCCTTCATTCTCAACATTGTCCTACATACCCTCCAACAAATCTATGGGCCGTACTGCGGGGGGAAGAACCCTTGCACCACAACGAATACCCTGTATCCCAATAAATGTAACATTTTGGGGGGGTACTAGGTGGTGAAAAATTTCCTCTATCCACCGAAGGTGTGCTTGCCGAAGTTAAGGGTCCCTTTTGCGGGTTTCCAGAAGAGGGACTATAACATCTTTGGGGTCAATTTTTGAGGGCCCTCAGATTTATGGAACCCTGACCCTGAAGCCCTTCAGCCCTGGACCCTGAACCCCTAAACCCTAAACCCCTAAACCCTAAACCCCTAAACCCCTAAACCCCTAAACCCCTAACTAATCACGAAAAGATTTCGTTGAGCTTGTAGCTCCTGTAGCTTCTGCAAGGCCGAAACCAGCTTGGTGTGGCCATCTCTCCTTAGGGCTTAGGGTTTAGGGTTTAGGGTTTACGGTTTTTGTTTATCGGACCTTTTCTCCGCAGGGTTTAAGGTTTAGGGTTTAGGGTTCAGGGTTTAGGGTTCAGGGTTTAAGGTTTAGGGTTTAGGGTTTAGACAGCAGTATTAGTAGTAGTAGTAGTAGTAGGAGTAGGAGTGTTACATGCAGAGGAATGGAAAAGAGAATGGAAGCTACTTATTTAGGATTTAGGGTCTGGGGTCCAGGGCTTGGACTATGGAATGGAGGAACCGCTTCCTACCACTAAGTTGAAACACCCTCACCCCCAATGTCAACTGTTCCCAGTGTGGTAATTATGCTATAATTGATCATGTGGAATACTGGGAATATTCAGTACTTGGGGGTGGTGGGTGGTTTTGATACTAAGAGAAAAAAAGAGGTAAAATGAGTTTCTCTTTTTGCTTTTCCCTTTCCGTAAAAACAGCCAGCAAGTCACCGTCGCTCCAACTCTCGAGGCACCAGCACCGAGTAGAAATTGGAGCCTGAAATGCAAACTACTGTATTTTGGGGAGGATATATAGGTGTAGGGTTTTAAGGTATAAGGTTTTGGTTATAGGGGCCTATGTAGGGGTCTAACATTAAACCCCCGATCTTAGGTGAAATGGAAATGAAAGTCCTTGGATGCTCCTGGGCGCCTTGTCGTTTATAGAACACATGTACGGGGGAAATAACGAGTGAGAAACTCAAGCTAATGAATGAAACACTTCCCCTGACCTTAAATGAATTAAGCAGATCTGTGGAATGCTCCGTGGTGCAATCCAAATCAACAAAAAAAACGGGGGGAGCTCTTGGGCATAAGAACACTAGGAGCCCAGGGTTATTGCAGTGATTCTCCAACAGGCCACTGATGTTCTTGTCTGCCCAGCTGGCCCATATTCGGGCCCTTGCGCGCGTCACCGGATCCTCTGGAAGTAGAGGGTGTCGGCCGGACTGCTTGTCGGCGAGGTCATCCGCAAACTCCACACACGTGAGGGATTCGTACACGGCAGGTTGCGACTCATCTGCGCGCACCTGAGGAGAAGGGAGGGGCATCTCGACATTTCAAGCCTTTTTGAGTACAAGGTCGTCTGCCCAACTGCCATCCATCTATAACAATTACTATTACGATTACTATAACTCAAAATTAGGGGTACCCTTTTTGGGGTCCCAATAGTAAAGACTGCAGAATTTTGGGGTCTACATTGGGGGCATCCTAATTTGGGGAAGCTACCATTTAGAAGCAACATAGCCGATCTTCAAGCCTTTAAGTGTAGTCTTTCATCTTACGCAACGTCTTTTACCACCCATCCACTACATTGAATTTCCTTTCTTCCTATGCAGGGACTTGAGGCACTGAAGTAGCGAGGACAGGGATAGGCACGACCAGAGGGCCTAGCGGAGTTTCCATCAAACTGTGGGGGAGCCCAATAATTTGTACGACAGGGATAGGATGATGAATGAAATTCACCATAAAGAGATAAAACAAGGAGCAAGTTATGTAACCACAGGTTATACTCATGGTCTCATGGTTGCTAGCTTCTGGGCCCACCAAGAGACAAAGTATCAGATTCGAGGCTGCGTAGGTGAGCCACTTCCCACACGGTTAGGGTTTAGGGTTTAGGGTTTAGGGTTTAGGGTGTTAGGGTTTAGGGTTTAGGGTTTAGGGCTCAGGGTTTAGGGTTCCACTAGATCAGTTTATGATTGTTCCGACTTCATGCTCAGCACGCAGAACTGCACAAGTGCCGCTGATGACGGAGCGACTGCTTGGGCTGTGTCAGAAAACCCCAATAATGTTCTACTTTGTCTGCGAGCTGAGTTGTCATGCTGCAGAAACCTTTAATCTAAGAAACGTAGGGGGCCACGTTTCTGATTTCGATTGTTTTCGAAGCGCCCAAAAACCAACTAGTTTAATAAGAAATGTAGGGGCTGCGTGTCCCGCAACTGCATGTGGATGTAAGCTACGCTTGTTCGTTTGAGGGTCGTTACGGCTTGAGGGAAAGGCGCCACTCTCTCAACTTCAAAAGTTTGCAAGGCTGAGCGGCTCGAAGCCCAGAATAAGAAATGAAGTAGGAAATAAAGTGTAGTTTCCATTTTCTTTTCCATGACTCCAATATAACCCCAATATATATCCCAATATAACCCCTATATAACCCCAAGGTACCCTACAGCTGGAGGCCTGGAAAAATGGAGATGTGAAATCACTGCCTAGCTGCTAAGAAATGAAGGGTACCCTACGCCTAGAGGACCCATCTCTTATCCAGGAGACCCCTAAACCCTAATCCCAAAACCCTAAACCCTAAACCCCTAAACCCTAAACCCTAAAACCCTAAACCCTATATGTACTAAGCTGAGCACGATGGTGGGGACCAAGCCCGACGGGTGATGCTTCAGCAGCAGGGGATGCTTCTCATAGCCTTGCAAGAGACATTTGGGGGATCAGGGGTAAGGGTTAGGAGGACCCCCCACCCTGTAATAGTGGTATAATAGGAATATAAGAGGACCCTGATATAATCCCCATTATCCATAATAGTCACTATTACTGGGTGGGGGGTCTACCTAAGGTAAGGGACGTATGGGGATATGTGAGGATTATGTTGACATTTCATCGAGGGTCATGTAGGGACATCATGGGATATATAGGGTAGCCTTTGCAGGAGACATCTAGGCGAAGAGGGGGTCCTCAACAAGTCTGAGGTCCTCTTGAAAGGTCCGGTTCTCAGGGACTAGGTATTCTGGTGGCATCATCCAAAACTGTTCCAAATACGCTTGCACCTGGACAATTTCCCTGTCTGAGGCTCAACCACTCCATGGGCGAAGAGTCTGAGGCTCACACCTTTGGCATCCTGCCGCTGGCTTTCAGGGAAGGAATGGTGCACTCAGACTCTTCATATAGCTTCTGCTACAACTCCTCACAGTAACTTCAAACAGCGCTTGCCGGATATAGAATATGCAGAACACACCAGATCAAGCACCCTCTTGTTGCCCCTGACATCCTGGAAAAAAATTCAACGGGCATGCATTGGGAAAGGGAATTTGCAACCAAGGGAGCCCCAAACTCAAAGTAAGCCGAACTTACCCCAGCAATTCATGAAGCTTTGGAGCCCGAACTGCGAAGCAATCCTTTAGCGTCTGGCCCGGCTCCAGTTTCAGGGTCAGCGCCTCGACGTACTCCTTGGTTGGGGTAGTTTAGGGTTTCGAGTTGAGGAGGGTGGCTACTGTCAAGAGAGGAGTCTCCTTTGCCCCTACGAAAAAGAAGTGTTGAGTCAAAGACTTGTCCTTGAAATGATCATCAGCCAGGCAGAACCAAATTATGCAAACAAATGAGGGCCGTGGCACATAAGGAATCTGGTGGTGATTCAAAGCTATCCACGCACGCTGCCTGAGTTCACTGCGACGTGTCACGCATGGGATATCTCAAGCATATCATGCTTGCCCGGATGCTCCTAGCAATGTCGCGATGAGAACAAGAGAACAGCAATCAACGTTCATACTCTCGGCTCATTCAGCTTTACTGTAACACATGCTCGCATCCAATGATCCGACATGATCCTATGGTCACGATGCAGACAAGAAGCGCGTAGGGGCAAAACCATGCGCACATGAACTTCCAGGGAGGATCTTCGTTTCTTGGGCGCTTGATCGCCGCACCTTCCTCCGTCATGGCTGCAAAAGCTTGCTGGCGCAGAGTGGATCTCACCCACGCCAGCCTGGGGGCACGTCTCCGAAGAACCAAAGACGTGGACACCAGATAGGATGCAAAGGCCATGGCATGGCACTTGGGCCAATTGGCCAGATCGGAACAGTGAGCGAAATGTCATAATGCAATGGCAGCATGGACATGCTTGTCTGGGGGCACCACGCACATCATCATGCATCGATGATGGCAACCACTTCAAGTAACCTGCTCTCATCTGCTCTCCATGGCTTGTACGATTGCCCAACCAACATCTTCGCGTACTGGCCTTCTAGAAGGAATCGCCTGTCACTCCTGCGGGTTCATCATATGGCACTGAGCAGATCAAGGGCTGCATGTTGATCCCAAACTTGAAAAACTCCACCAAACTCATGTTATGTATAGCAGTGCTTTTAGAAAGCTATAGGACGTGGCCTAATTCCCCACCCTCACAGCACTGTTATTTCAAGAAGTAGGTCAACAGTTACATAGAAGTATGTTCTCCTAGCCGTCCGCGCAGCGCCTGACCAAGGAAAATCCAACCACCGAGTGTCACTGGCGTGCCCCACCGCAGAACTTCCCTAACCGCATCCCCTGCACTGCCTATCCGCCGATAACCCTGCAGTGCCCAACCGCAAGAGCATCCCTGCAGCGTCCAACAGCACAGTATCCTTGCCGTGCCGAATCGCAAAAGGTCCCTGCAGTGCCCGAACGCAAAATGTCTCTGCAGTGTCCCATAGCTAGCATTGGTAGAACCCAGAATATTAGAGGTTATATAGGGGTTATATAATGTATTATAGTATGTGAGGTATATCATAGTATATTATGGTATCTTATATAGGGCTGATGTTCACAACTGCTCAAACCCCCCCAGACTATCCCTGCACAACTGTTGTCTCCAGGCTAGCATTGCTGACACACGCCCCACATTGTTGCTGGAAGTAGTTGATGATGCTAGCAAACCACAAAAAGATATGGGGTAGGTATGTTTGAAGTAGATAATTATCCTAGGATTTCCCCCCTAGACCTGAGGAGTTATGGAGATCCACAAAATAAGCCGCTCCTCCACTTCGCAAGGAGCTCACTGCGAGATCCCACCTTCTCACCCCACAGACCGGGGGATGTCTCCAAGATTGGGGTTATGTAGGAATAATGGAAACAGAAAATAGAAACTATTATGAGGGGTTATATACAGGTCATACTGGGATAATGGAAAGGAAAATGGAAACTACTAAAGTATATTGGAGTTAAATCGGGGTTATATTGGGATAATGGAAAAAGAAAATGGAAACTACTATATAGAATATTGGGGCTGTATTGTGGTTATATATATATATATGGGTCCCGTGTTTGGGTGTTCCTTAGATACGACATCTTGGGGTCTGTCTTTTTCACAAGTGCAGGCTGAAAGTCTGTGCACGGAAGCCCTTTTGGCAATGGTGCGAAGAATTGTATTCCGTTTTATGTGGGGAAGTGGAACTTCAGAGTAACTGCAGTCTATACATTAAGCAATTGATTGCCTTGTAGGATCTTTGTAAACATGCTGGGGAGCCAACATTACATGGTGGGCATGCATACCATGCAAGGGTCTGTATTTGGGGCCCCCCATAAAATTGCCCTCAGGGACTCTTTGGAACATATTTGCATCACAACCCTAAAGTCTTAGCTGAAGGCTCGACAACCGCCACGCGGAGCCCGAAGCTGCCCGAGCTGCGCGAGCGGCAGAAAACGTCAAGGAGCCCAGGTAAAGCTGGGCGACTGCCACCATGAATGA